CCATGGCCAATGGCCACCTCCACGGCCGCGCCCGAGGGGCAGGCGCCGCAGATCTTCCCGTGGATGCGGAAGCTTCACATCAGCCATGGTAATTCTCTGCCTCTTTTTTGTCTCCTCAGCTTCCCTCCTGTGTGTCTGGGGGCGAGAGGGTGGCCAGGAGAGCTTGGTTCCCCTCAGAAACAAATGTCTTTTTTTCCAAGGGGGCGAAGATGGCCACCTCCACGGCCGCGCCCGAGGGGCAGGCGCCGCAGATCTTCCCGTGGATGCGGAAGCTTCACATCAGCCATGGTAATTCTCTGCCTCTTTTTTGTCTCCTCAGCTTCCCTCCTGTGTGTCTGGGGGCGAGAGGGTGGCCAGGAGAGCTTGGTTCCCCTCAGAAACAAATGTCTTTTTTTCCAAGGGGGCGAAGTCCCCAAGAGGGTCCCCCAGGCTCCGTGGACAGAGCCGAGCAGGGGCTTCGGGGAGGCTGTATTTTTAATCATTCCTTCCCAGGCACGGCTTAGAGTCTACTCGCCCAGCCAGGAGCCAGCCTTAGGATGAAGGATGGGGTGTATGTGATGTAGGACAGGGTCCCCCGAAATCTCCAGACTGCTGCTGGGGGAGGAGGGCAGACAGTCAAGAGGAGCCTTCCAGGGCAGACGTGGGGCCCGCTCTGCTCCCTGCCTGGGCCAGCTGCAGCCTGCGCCCCGGAAGGGTGAGACACTGGGAGGGCACAAGAGACAAAGCCAAAGCCGGCGCCTTCGCTGCCAGCAAAAGTGGGGGCTGCAGGACGAGGGGTGCCGAAATGGAGCCTGGCCGCGGGTATCTGGAGTGGGAGGATGGGAGCTGCGGGGAGCCGGCTGCTGGGGACGCCTGGGTCCCGCTCCCCGCCCCCTCCCGCCCAGGGCCCCCTCCTTGAACCGGAATAGGAATAGCTAACGTGGCCTGGCGGCTCTGTTCTGTCTGCTCAGATATGACTGGGCCGGACGGGAAGAGGGCCCGGACCGCGTACACGCGCTACCAGACGCTGGAGCTGGAGAAGGAGTTCCACTTCAACCGCTACCTGACCCGGCGGAGGCGCATCGAGATCGCGCACGCCCTGTGCCTGTCCGAGCGCCAGATCAAGATCTGGTTCCAGAACCGGCGCATGAAGTGGAAGAAAGACAACAAACTGAAAAGTATGAGCCTGGCGACAGCCGGCAGCGCCTTCCAGCCCTGAGCCCTGAGCCCGCCCGCCCAGAGGAGCCCTGGGCG